TGACTGCACCATGCCCACCTCCTGTGAGCTTGCTGACCTGGGGACATGCCTACAGTGAACTTGAGGCAGCAGAGGCCACCCTCAGGCCAGGCCACAGGGGAGATGGGAGCAAATGACTAGTTCGAAAGGGGCAGCCCCCCTCCTCCCACCGCTGCTGCCACTCTCCCAGCCCCCTGACTGCACTGAGCCCATGGTCTTATCAAAGTGGGTACAGAGGGAACATATTTCAACATAGTAAAAGCTATTTATAGCAAACCTACGGCCAGCTTAATACTCTTACAGTGAGAAGCTGAAAGCCTTTCTGCTCAAATCTCGAACAAGGATGCCCACTCTCACCAGCTCTATTCAATACAGTATCAAAAGTTCTAGCATACCAATTAGACAACAAAAAGAAAGGAAAGAGGTAATAAACTTGTCATATGCGGATGACATGGTACCATACACAAAAACCCTAAAGACTCCACAGAAAAACTGTAAGAGCTAATGAAAGAATTCAGCAAGGTAGCAGGATACAACATCAACATACAGAAATGAGTGGCATTTCTTTACATGAAAGTAATAATCCCTTTTAAAACTGCATCGAAAAAAATAAAATACTTAGGAAGAAATCTGACCAAGGAAGTCAAAGACATATGCGTAGACATACAAAACACTGACTAAGGAAATTAAAGAGAACTTAAAGAAATGGAAAGATATCCCATGTTCTTGCACTGGAAGAATTAATATTGTTCAAATGGCCACACTGCTCAAACGAATCTACAGATTTAATGTGATCCCCATCAAATTACCCAGGACATTTTTCAAGGAATTACAACAAATTATCTTCAAATTTATATGGAATCACAAAAGACCCAGAATTATCAAAGCATTACAGAAGAAAAAGAATGAAGCTGGAAGAATAACCTTCCCAGACTTCAGACAATACGACAGAACTGCAGTCAAAACAGCCTGGTATTGATACAAAAAGACACATGGATCAATGCAACAGAACAGAGAGCCCAGAAGTAAACCCACAAACTTTTGGTCAATTAATCTTTGACAAAGGAGGCAAGAATATACAATGGAGTAAAGACAGTCTCTTCAGCAAATGGTGTAGGGAAAACTGGACAGCTGCATGTAAATCAATGAAATGAGAATATTCC